TTTGAAAATACATACAGAAAGGGGTGCCTGGGTGGCTCAGTGGGTTAAGCCTCTGCCTTCTGCTCGGGTCATGGTCTCAGGGTCCTGGGATCAAGCTCCACATCGGGCTTTCTGCTCAGTGGGGAGTCTGCTTCCCCCTCTCCCTCTGCCTGCCTCCTCTCTGCCTACTTGTGATTTCTCTCTCTGTCAAATAAATAAATAAAATCTTAAAAAAAAGAAAATACATACAGAAGAATATATATATATATATATATATATATATATATATATAATTTATATATAAAATATATAGCATAATAATACAATTAACATTTCCAGAATGTTTATTTCTGGAAATAAACATTTCTGGAATCTAGAACTAGAGTACTGTTTTTTGCGTCTACCTATGCATTCCTCCCTTACCCATTTTCTTGCCTACCCCTTCTGCTGAGGTAATTACATCTTTCCATGTACTTCTTTGCTTTGATCTATATGTTTCTTCACACATATATGTATGTATGCCTAAAAATATATAGTTGTATGTTTGTTAACTTTACAAAATTTTTTTATGCTGAGATTTGCTTTCTTTCACTCAGTGTTTTCAAGATTTATTCATGTCATTTTATGATATTGTAGTTTATTCATTTTCACTGCTGCATGAATTCCACTTTGAGAACATACCACATTTATTCATTTTCCTTTAGGATGGACATCAGATTGTTTCTAATTTTTTGCTATTATGATCTGTGCTATTTTGAACATTTTCATTTGTTTCCTGGTGCATATGTGCGAGAGTTCATTTAAGATGTATATTGGGTAGTAGAAATGCTGGATTTATGAGAAACAAATGTTCAGTTTTACAAGATAATTTTCTAAAGTGTTTATAGCACTGGGTGTTATATGCAACTAATGAATCGTTGAACACTACATCAAAAACTAATGATGTACTATCTGCTGGTTAACTGAACATAGTAAAAAAAAAATAACATGGTTATAGCAATTCCCACTCATTAGGATCAAATAAAAGTTGCTACTGATCCATACCTTTCTCTTTTGTCAGTGATACACGTTTCCTTTACTGTGAAAGGACTGTCCATATTTTTCACCCATTTTTTCCCCTTCTGGCTTATATGTCTTTTTATTTTTGATTTGTTGTCTTTTACATATCTAGATACTGTTCCTTTGCCTATGTGTTATGAAGATGTCTCCTCTAAATTCATGTCATATCTTTTTCACTTTATTGAGGTACAATTGATACATAATAAACTGCACATATGTAAAGTACATGATTTAATATGTTGAAGTATGTATATATTAGTGAAACTGTTAGTACAATGAAGGTAGTAAACATATCCACTGCTTCTTAAAGTTTCCTCCTGTCTCTTGGTAATCCCTCCCACTCACCCCTTCCAGTAGTCCTTCCTCCCGTTATTCCTTGGGAACAACTGATTTTTTTTCCTGTCATTATAGAATTAATTTGCATTTTCTAGAATTTTTATGAGTATTATAAAACACAAACTCACTTTTGTCTGATTTTTTCACTTGATAGAATTTAGAATTATTTCGAGATTCATCCATGTTGTGTATGTCAATAGTTTGTTCCTTTTTATTGCTGAATAGTATTCTATTATATGGATATGCCACAATGTGTTTATTCATTCATTAGTGGACTTTTGGGTTATTTACTGACTTGACTTTTTGTAGGGTCATATACATTTTCTTTTTTTTTTTTTTTAAAGATTTTATTTATTCATTTGACAGACAGAGATCACAAGCAGGCAGAGAGGCAGGCAGAGAGAGAGGAGGAAGCAGGTTCCCTGTTGAGTGGAAAGCCCTATGCGGGACTCAGTCCTAAGATCCTGGGATCATGACCTGAGCTGAAGGCAGAGGCTTTAACCCACTGAGCCACCCAGGCACCCCCATTTTCTTTTTTCTTAGATAATACCTAGAATGTGAATAGTTGGATTATATATTAGTTCTATGCTTAACTTTTTAAGAAACTGAAAAAACTGCTGTTTTTCAAAGTGGCTGTACCATTTTTCATTTTTAGTATCAGAGTATGAGAGTTCCAGTTCATTCACATCCCCATCAGTGCTTGGTGTGTTCAATGTTTTTAATTTTAGCCATTCTAATAAATGTGTAGTTGTATCTCATTGTGTTTTTGATTTTTCATTTCCCTAGTGACTATTGATACTGAATATCTTTTCATGTGTTTATTTGCCATCTGTTATTTTCTTCAGTGAAGTGCCTGTTCAAGTCTTTTGGCCATTTTTCTATTGGATTGTTTGGTTTCATATTTATTTTTAGAGTTCTTTATATATTCTAGATACAAGTTTTTTTTTAATCATAAATATGATTTGCAAAGGAACAATTCTATGTTCATAGTTATTTTCCCTCAAAAGTTTGAAGTTATTTTTCTGCTGTTTATATTACATTATTGCTTTTGATAAGTCTGATCAGTCTTTTCTCTTTGACTGCTTTCATGATCTTTGCTTTGTCTTTGGTATTCTGAAATTTTATTATATTTTATTATGGTATGCACATAGCTTTTATTTATTCTCTTTCATATAAGTTGTTACATTCAGTTTCTGAATTCATATTTTCATAAGTTCTAAAAATTTTATATCCTTTATCTCTTTAAATATCACTTGTTATTTATTCTGTTTTCTCCTTAAACTATCTATTAGAAAAATATTAGACTTTCTTATCTTATCTTTCTTATCTTACCCATTCTGTACATAATCAATTAATACTTTCATATGTTCTATTTCATCTTCTCTCATGTTGAATTCTGACTTTTTTCTTTGGGAATATTTTCCAGTTCTACTTTGTTTAATCTGCTGTTTAACCTAGCCTTTGAATTTTTAACTTTAAATAATTACACATTTTTCTGACATTTTATTATGAATGTTTTCAAACAGCAAAGTTATAAGAATACTACAGTGAGTACCTGTACACCTACTATCTAATGATAGATTTTATCATTAGCATTTTATTATATTTATTATATGTGATATCAATCCATCCCCCTAGCCATCCATTAATCTATTTTTAAAGAATTGTATTTTTAAATTTTAGAAGTTACATTTGTTTCTTCTCATTTTGCATGTTCACTCTTCCTAGGTCTTGTTATTTGCTTATCTTTGTGAGTATGGCCATCATTTATCCAACACTTTACATAGCTTTTCTTTGTGCCATGTCAGAAAATTCCAAAACCAACAATACCTGGGCATGTAACCCATTATTTGCTATTGCTGCTGAATTTCATTTATATTGGCATGCCTTTCTGTTGGTTTGTGATCTTGATTGTGAGCTCTTTTCTTGATCCTCATCTATGAGAATCCTACAGGTTTGAGATTTTCTATAGAAAATATTTTCTTTTGCTGCTGCCAGTAACAAATAGGCAGCTACTGACATAGAATTACTTCATCATTCCTTGAGGATCTTGGCTCAGTGAGGAAATTTAGGGCCAGCTTCCTTACCTCTACTTACTGATATGAGGATCTGTATGCTGATAGCAATTCTGCCATAGGTATGTGTCCTCAGAACAACCCCATTCCTTCTGTCTACCAACTACTATTAATCCAGCCTCCCAGCTGATCTGATTTCAGCTCAAGTTGTGTGTGTGTGTGTGTGTGTGTGTGTAGATATATATATATATATATATATGAACATTCTTGGAGATCTAGCCCATCTGCTGCAACATCAGTAATGCTTCAGAGTGCCTAGTTCATCTGAAGAACACTTAGCCATAGTGTCAGAAGCAGATGTCATCAAAAACACTTTTTTTCATACTTTAAAAAGTTGCAAAATGTAACTTTGTGTGATAATTTTTAATCCCATTTACATCCTAAATCTGAAAATGAATTTATGAAAGTAGTCATTTTGGGGGCCCTTTGGGCCGGTTTCTAACAGTGATTGTGTAATACCATTTATTTATTTATGTATTTATTTATGTATTTATTTAGGATTTTATTTGTTTTTTTGAGAGATAGAGTGCATGCTGGGGGGAGGGCCAGAGGAAGAGGGAGAAATAGACTCTCCACTGAGCCCAATATGGAATCCATTGTGATGGGGGCTCAATCCAGGACCCTGAAATTATGACCTGAGGTGAAGTCAGACACTTAGCTGACTGAGCCTCCCAGGCACCCATGTGTAATGCTTTTTAAAAAGGCTATTAAATGGATGCCTGTGGGGCTCAGTCAGTTAAGCATCTGACTTCAGCTCAGGTCATGATCCCAGGGTCTTGGGATTGAGTCCACATCAGGCTCCTTGCTAAGCAGGGAGCCTGCTTCTCCCTCTCCCTCTGCCTGCTGCTCTCCCTGCTTATGCTCTCTTTCTGACAAACTAATTAATTAAGTCTTAAAAAAATAAAACAAAAAGGAAATTAAAAAACTTTTTTTAAATTTTGGAGTAGTTTTAATGCTTACAGAATAGTTGCAAAGAGTATGGAGAGTTCCAATGTACCCCAGACTGTTTCTCCTATTGTTAACATCTTATATTTACTGTGGCAACTAATAGTAAATATTGATACATTATTACGAAAGTAAGTCCATACTTTTTAGCTAATGTCCTTTTTCTGTTCCAGAATCCCATCAAGAACCTTTAGTGATCACTGACCATTTTACTGTCTCTTTAGTTTTGCTTTTTCTAAAATATTATATAAATGGAATAATAAAATATGTAGCTTTTTCAGGCTGGATATTTAAAGTTAGCATTTAAGATTCATCTGTTTCTACATGGCTTGGTAGGTCATTCTTCCTTATTGCTGAATATGACTTACTACAGTTTGTTTATTCAATGATTGAAGAACATCTTGGGTGTTTTCAGGTTTTTCAGTCATTAGTAAAGAATTCTCATGCAGGTAAAAATGCAGTTTTCAAGATTTCCTTATTTTTATTATTTTTGTTTGGGATCATGTGCATGTAGTTATTTAGTAAGCAAAATTTTTCATATATACATCTATGCAGAAGCTATTTATGTGATGGTACATGACATTTGATCCTTCCATTTTTCCACAGATATTCAAGAATTTTATGAGGTGACATTGCTAAATTCTCAAAAAAGTTGTGATCAGAAGATAGAAGAAGCAAATCAAGTTGCACAGAAATGGGAGAAGACATCCCTTCTTGCTCCGTGCCATGATAACCTTCAAAAATCTGCAGAGGTATATAGTGAAACATTAAAAATAACTGAATAATATTATGATTTACTTATGCCAGTAAAGTGGTCACAGTCATAGTAGTAGTAATCATTACTGACAGATGGCAACAATAATAATATAAATGAAGTTTGCTGTACTGTATTCAATACTTATGTATAAATATCCACATTTTGCCAAGAGATGAAAAGGCATGGGGACATGATTCTTCACATTATACAAGTGTGTTCTTTTATGAATATTATGATTGAGTTGACTCAAGTCTAAGGCGTTCTGGTATTTCAGAACATGGTTCCAGTGCAATACAGGAAAGAGATGGGATTGGAAAGTGTGGTCTGTAGCTGTCATCTCCATAATAGGGTCATATATCTTGGGGTGTTTTAAAATGACCCATTAGGGTTTAGGAGCAAAATAGTAGAACTTCCATTTATACTTTTTATCATCTCCTTTATATTATTAAACATTTTGGGTAATTTATAGTATATAGTATATAAACAGTAATACATACACATTTAAAAATTAACATAAGGTTAGTAGAGTTCTGTGTTCAAATGATTTTTATATAGAGGACGATGAGATCAAACAGTTTGGAGACTACTATTGGAATTACCAGTTACCGAAGAGTAAGGCAAGTTGAGGAATGTCCCAGGTTCATAACTGAGGATTAATACAGAGGCAGGGACCGATCAATGATATTTTTAAGTGGCATTCGATACTTTGAGGCAGGTAGTAGTACACACACATGCACGCACAATCTGTCAAGGTTGCATAGTGAAGCTGACTTAGAAGCTATGTGGAATCCTAGTGCTAATCAATGGCACTTTGCTGAATCTTTGGATTGTTAAGTTTGAGGCTTGTGATATGCTTTCTATCTTGCTCAGAATTGACTTAAAAAATGGAAGAGATTCAGTCTGATGAGATTCAGTCTGATGAGTTGAAGAAAAAGTTAACAATAATTTTTAACTGATACCACTATATAAAGTTTATAAAATACTGAAAATATTAAAAATCTTAGTTTTAATACCTATAATTATTTTGACTTTTTAGTCTTTTTTCTGTACAAATTTGTGTGCATAAAATTGTACACCAGAATATATTGTGTTTTTATTACTTTTATATTTACTACTATACTATTAATATTTTCCCATATGGGAAATATTTTAATAGCTATATAGTATTCCATCATTTGTAATTTACTTCGATAGTTCTCCATTCAATATTTAGGCTATTTTCTGTTCTCAGCCCTGAATAATGCTTTCATAGATATCTGTGTATATCAACCATTATGTGTTTTCTGATGAAACTCCTGAATTCAAAGATATTGACATTTATATGTCTCTTGATACAAATTGTCAAAGTGCTTTGCAGAAGGATACTACCAACAGTGTTTGAAAGGCATACCTACCTATACCCTCATTAGTATTAATCATTTAAAATATTCATCAAATTAATAGATACAATTTGTTGTTTAATGCATTAGATTGCAGTTCTTATTCATTATTGAAACTGAACTGTTTTGTTTTACTCTTTTTTTGTTGTTGCACAGTTGATATATGATGTTACATTAGTTTCAAGTGTACAACTTAGTGATTTAACAACTCTATACATTATGCTGTGCTCCCAAGTATAGCTACTGTTATCATGCAGCTCTGTTAACAATACCATTGCCCACATTCCCTGTACTATACCTTTCATCCCCTTGACTTTCTCCTTCTATAACTGGAAATGTGTACCTCCCACTGCCCTTTATCCATTTTGTCCATCCCCCAATTCCTGCCCCTCTGGCAACCATCAGTTCACAATTTATGGGTCTTTTTTCTTATAATTATTGAGTATTTATATTTAAGTTTTTATTTAAATTCCAGTTAGTTAACATATGATATAATATTAGTTTCAGGTGTACAATATAGTGATTCCACACTTTCATACAATATCCAGTGCTCAACAAGTTTTTATTTAAATTCCAGTTAATTAACATACGATATATTAGTTTCAGGTGTACAATATAGTGACTCCATACTTTCATATAATACCCAGTGCACTCCTTAATCCCCATCACCTGTTTAACTGCCGCCCCACCTACTTCCTCTCTGATAACCCTCAGTTTGTTTTCTACAGTTTATTTCTTGGTTTGCCTCTTCTCTTTTTTCCCTTTGCATATTTGTTTTGTTTCTTAAATTCCAAACATAAGTGAAATCATATGGTATTTGTCTTCCTCTGACCAATTTATTTCACTCAGCACTCTCCAGTTCAACCCACATAGCTGTGAATGTCAAGATTTCTTTATTTTTTTAAATGGCTGATTAATATCCCATGGGGTGTGTGTGTGTGTACCACATCTTCCTAATCCATTCAACAGTTATTGGAAACTTGGGCTGTTTCCATAATTTGACTATTGCAGATAATGCCGCTATAAACATTGGGGCGCATGTATCCCTTTGAATATGTATTTTGTATTCTTTGGGTAAATACCTGGTACTGCAGTGGCTGGATCACAGGAAGTTCTATTTTTAACTTTTTGGGCAATCTCGGTTTTGTTTTCCAGAGTGGCTGCACCAGTTTGCATTATTTTGATGACGTCCAGTAGTTTATTTTTGCGTTTGTTTCCCTTGCCTCAGAAAATATATCTAGAAAGAAGTTTCTACCCCTGATGTCAAAGAAGTTACTGCCTGTGTTATCCTCTAGGAATTTTTACAGTTTCAGGTCTCACATTTAGATCTTTAATCCATTTGGAATTTATTCTTGTGTGTGGTGTAAGGAAGTGGCTTAGTTTTATGCTTTCGCATTGTTGCTGTCCAGTTTTCCCAGCATCGTTTCTTGAAGTCGCTGTCTTTTTTCCATTAAATATTCTTTCCTACATTGTCAAAGATTAATTAGCTATATAGTTTTGGGTTTATTTTGCAGTTTTCTTTTCTGTTCCATTGGTCTTTGTGTCTATAGTTGTGCTAGTACCATACTGTTTTGATCACTACAGCTTTGTAATATAACTTGAAATCTGGGATTGTGATGCCTCCAGCTTTGCTTTTCTTTTTCAAGGTTGCTTTGGCTATTTGGGGTCTTTGTGATTCCCTACAAATTTTAGGATTGTTTGTTCTAGCTCTGTGAAAAATCCTATTGATACTTTGATGGAAATTGCATTGAATATATGGATTACTTTGAGTAGCATGGACATTTTAATAATAATTGTCCTTCTAATCCATGAGCATAGGATGTCCTTCCATTTCTTTGTGTCATCTTCAATTTCTTTCATCAGCACTTTATAATTTTCAGAGTACAGTCTTTTCCCTCTTTGGTTAGGTTTATTCCTAGGTATCTTATGGTTTTTGGTGCCATTGTAAATGGGATTAATTCTTTGATTTGTCTTTCTGCTGCTTCATTATTGTGTATAGAAATGCAACAGATTTCTGTATGTCAATTTTGTATCCTATGACTTTACTAAATTCATGTGTCAGTTCCAGCAATTTTTTTGGTTGAGGTTTTGGTTTTCTATGAAGGATATCATGTCATCTGCAAATAGTGAAAGTTTGCTTTCTTGCTGATTTGGATGCCATTTATTTCTTTCTGTTGTCTGATTGTTGTGACTAGGTCTTCTAATACTATGGTAAATAACAGTGGTGAGAGTGGATGTCTCTGTGTTGTTCCTGACTTTAGGGGTAAAGCTCTCAGGTTTTTCCCATTGAGGACGATGCTAGCTGTGGGTATTTCACCTCTAAACCTACTTTGTTGAGGGTTTGTTTGTTTTTTTTAATCATGAATGAAAGCTCTGTTTGTCATATGCTTTTAATGCAACTATTGAAATAACCATATGGTTCTTATCCTTCTTTTATTAATATGGTGTATCACATTGATTAATTTACAAATATTGAACCATCCTTGGAGCCCAAGAATAAATCTCACTTAATCATGGTGAATGATTCTTTTAATGTACTGATTGATTCAATTTGCTAGTACTTTACTGAGAATTTTTGTGTTCAAGTTCATCATGAATATTGGCCTATAGTTCTCTTTTTTGGTGCAGTCTTTGGTTTTGGTATCAGGGTAGTGCTAACCTCATGAAATAAACTTGAAAGTCTCCCTTCCATTTCTATTTTTTGGAAAAATTTGAGGAGATAGGTATTAATTCTTTTTTTAAGTGTTTGGTAGGATTCACCTGTGAAGCTCTCTGGCCCGGGCTTTTGTTTGTTGGGAGCTTTTTTTTGATGACTGAATTAATTTCTTTGCTTGTTATTGGTCTGTTCAAGTTTTCTATTTCTTCTTGGGTTAGTTTTGGTAGTTTATATTTCTAGGAATTTATCCATTTCCTCCAGGTTGTCCAACTTATTGGCACATAGTTTTTCATAATATACTCATAATTGTTTCTATTTCTGTGGTGTTGTTATTTCTCCTCTCTCATTTCTGATTTTATTTGAGTCCTTTCGCATTTCTTTTTGATAAGTTTAGCTAGAAGTTTATCAATTTTATTATTTTTTCAAAGAACCAACTCCTCATTTCATTGATCTGTTCTATTGTTTTTTTGTTTCTATATCATTTATTTCTGCTCTAATCTTTACTATGGTCTTCCTTCTGCTGGCTTTAGGCTGTGTTCATTGTTCTTTTTCTAGCTCCTTTAGATGTAAGATTAGGTTGTTTGAGATTTTTCTGGTTCCTTGACCTAGGCCTGTATTGCAATAAGTTTACTTCTTAAGATCACTTTTGCTACATCCCAAAGATTTGGGACCATTGAATATTCATTTTCATTTCTTTCCATGTATTGTTTTTTATTTCTTCTTCGATTTCCTGGTTGACCCATTCATTCTTTAGTTGCTTGTTGTATAACCTCCATGTAGTTGTGGTCTTTCTAGATTTTTTCTTGTAGTTAACTTCAGATTTCATAGCATTATGGTCAGAAAATATGCATGGTATGATCTCAGTCTTTTTGTACTTGTTGAGTCCTGAATTATGACGTAATATGTGAACTATTTTGGAGAATGTTCCATGTGCACTTTAAAAGAATATATATTCTGGTG